GCAAAGGGTAAAAAGAGGGTGTTGTATCCAAGTGATGAGAGGCACTGGTCCTTAAGGAAGAGGAGGAACCGGTAAGAAGGTCAAGCCGGCGAGTGATGGAGTAAGATGATGAGCCTGAAAAGGGTGGTGCAGGGATGCCAGTGAATTCTTGAACCATGGCTCTGAAATTTGAGGTGTCGGTGGTAAGAACAGTTGTAGGTGCTCTTCTTGAAGCTCTAGTTCTCTTCTTTGAGTTTCGTGTTGCTGATGCATTATTAGTAAGTGCTGATGATGAAACCACCCTCGCATTTTTGTTCTCATCATGGCTAAGACCATGAGGTGGTGGACACAACCCTTGGTTAAATCCTTGTAGGTTTGGAGGGTCAGTGCAATTGGGTTCAGGTCTTTTGCCTTGAGCTGTAGAAGTAGTGGTGGCGTCCAAATTAAGGAAAGAGTTGGGATTTGTGTTTGGTATAGAGTGAAGGTAGCTAGATGAAAGATCAAAGAAAGATGGATTATGATGATGAGAAGAAACATTAAGGGATGAAGATTGACCAAAATGGGTTGGAGGATGATTGAGGAAGGTTGAAGGGAGCAGTGTTGTGTGATCAACTCGTGAATCATATTCTTCATCACCACTAGAAGAGATACTTCTACTATTACCAGAATCCATAGCTTGCAAATTAAGCAAAAGTGGGGAACAAAAGGAAATAATTAAAAAGTATAGAAAAATAATCAACCTTATGTTAGTGAGAAGATGACCTGGAAGTGATTGCAGCAGGAAGAACCCGTGAATGAAATCTAATTCTGAAAAACACCCTTTTGAAAAAAGCACCGTATCTTTATATTGATAGCTAGCTTGTCTTTCTTTCAGTCGGAGAAAAACTTTACTATAAAAAGGAGAGAAATAAAACACATTAGGAATATAGATCTCACTCATGTCATGATAATATATATCTGACTAGGGAATAAGCATGGAGAAGTAAATTACAAAAAAGGGCAGAGCTAGCTATATATAGATCTCTTTGCCTTATTTTATTAGTGTGTGTGTGTGAATTAGGGTTTGAGGAGAAGGAGGAAAAAGAAAAGGAAGAAAGGGGAAAGGAAAGGTTGTTTTTGTTAATAAAACATTTGTGTTTGTGCTGAGAAAAAGAGAACTTTAGAAGATCCTTTAGAGAGTGCACGTAGCAAGCAAGAGTGGGGTCACCATAGGAATAGAGATAAAAGAGTTGCCGGTGGCTGGCAACGGGTCAAACTCAAAGTGAATGGTGAGAGAGAGAGTTGTGAACGTGAAAGGGTGAAAAGGATGTAACTATATATATAATATATTTTTGTTTGGAAAATGGAAATGTATTTTATTTTGGACACTATACATGTAATATTTTGAAAAAAAAAATGTAATTATTTTACATTATATATATATATATAAAGATAATTACAATGCATCATACATATTTTTTGGTGTACAGTGTAGTAGTTGATAAATATCATTTGCATTTTTATAGTATATTTAAGGAACTTAACTGTCTATTAGTTATGTTGAGTTTTGTACATATAGTTAAAACAAAACATATTATGTACATATAAAATTCAGACGTGATAATTTGGGTCTCCAAATAATAAAACCAAGCAAAATAAGCAGTTAACGAAAATTTATATAATAGTAACCGAATTAAATTTGAAGTGAGTGAAAGCGAGGCATATATGTGAGAACACAAAAGGTGAAAGAGATAGCAAAACCAAATAAGGCAAGTCAGGTTATAGCTAGCAAAATTATACACGGGCCTTTAGATGGAGGTTTATAGAGCATTATATTTCATGTATAGCTAGAGTTTAGTAGTATGTGTAAATGAATGTAATATGAATGAAATTTCAGTGTAAAATTTATACACTTTGCAATATTACTTATAAACATATTATCTATAATATATTTTTATCACTTATATTTAAAATATAATAATAATTTAAATATAAATAATATATAATAGAATAATAATATAAAAATCTCTTAAGTTACTCTTGTATATATTTTTTAGTATGTTTAAAAAATGGAAACATTTCAATATGAGAGAAAAATGTAAGTACTAACAATATATGAGTTTTATACGTTATCTCTATATCATCTAGCATTCATTTTTAATTAACATTGACTCTTCAAAAAGAAATACAAAAGAAAGATGAATAATGTTATGAGTGTCTATCAATCTTTATTTTCAATATTATGCGATAATCATTAATTAATAAAGGAGGGTTAAGATTAAGGCTCCTCTGCATTCGAGATATTGGTATAGTCCAATGAGTGGGCCATCCACATGGCAAAGATGTTGTATATAATGGGGAGGCCTTAGGCGTGTGGGTTAATCCCATTTCCATTTTCAATGACACGAATCGAGCGACCCAATTTAGTGGAGATCGCAGATCTAGAGCTTTTATGCCTATTAGGTTATTCACCAATCGTGTTCCTTTATCCTCTGTTGGGTTCTTTCTCATTGGGCTTAGCCCTTGAGATATTTGACCTGTTGTTGTACACTGGGTCAACCAAATGGACCATAATATTGGACTTCTGTTGTGTTGGTTATCTTTTTTTCTTTCTTGTTCCTCTATAATTCATTCTATCTCATAGTGTCTAACATATTGCTGTGGAAATGATTTAAATATTTATTGAATTACTTATCTCATTGTTAATTATTTTTTAGATTGAACCTTTAACATGTATTGAAGTCAAAGTCTAACTATCTCTGATTGTCATTGGCTAAAAAATATCATTTAATCATAAGTTAAAATACACGTTAAGCAATTTCTCTTATTGTCAATTAATTTTTAGATGAAACTTTAACAGTCAAAGTTTCTTTAATGTAGAACTTCCATTTTAGAATCTAGACTAACTTTAATTTAGATATGATTAATTTAACTGAGCATAATATTTTAATCATGTTATCATATTCAATATATTTTGACACATATCAAGCAACATGAACAATAGAAGAGTATAATTCCATCCGTAAAATCTTCTTTTGATCCAAAATAACATTATACATAGATTTGCACTCAATAATGCACCCTCAACCTCGGCACCATTTTGCTAGAATCTCATAAAGGTTCAACGAGGAAAGGCTTCACATGTAATTCTCTACATGTGACACTAGAGTATAGAGCCATTAATTTGCAAATTTTAAGGATGAAGAAAGGTGAAGATAACATGCACCACTCAATCATGATAATATCCACTGTCGAATGGTTTGTTTGTCACTGCTATTCATATTTATCCAATTTTATTTATCTTCATTGTTATCCATCTTAGGAGTTATTACCTCGAGATCAATGAATTGGAATGTCCTTTTCATAAGGTATATTCCAATATGAACTAAAATTCACGCATAATTAAAGGTCAAATAAAACTTAAACTGGAAGGTCATATCTTTACAATGCCCTTGGATCACGTGACCACATGTTTCTCTTTACGTAAAATACACGTGCGTCCAATGTAACCCTAAAATATGTTAAAGTCAAGCTAGCTAGGTGACTTGATTCCCAAGCATTGTATTGCTTAATTCTTTTTCCTCCCTTCAAGCTAAGAGCCTTGGATCTAAAGCCTATGTGACGTCACAATCACCTATGAATTTGTGGTTCTTTAGGGGATTCCAACGTGTATCAAACTAGTTCTTTAGTCATTTGCAAGAATTTCAGGCTTTGACAACTTGTGAAGGATTTTCAACTTCTTTCTCCCCATAATATAGTATTATAGTGTTTGGATGCCTTTCTTTGATTTAAGCATATTGATAATGGTGGGAAACAAATACAATTTACTAAGAAGATGTTGATTTAGTGGTGTAAGATCTCATTGGACTCTCAGATATACTAAAAGTTTAAAGGTTCAATTCATGAGAGTGACATTTGTTGAAAGTTATAGTCATACACCCCAGAATGGATTAGTTCATTACATATAGAGTGGTGAATATCTTTGGTTACGTAAAAAATAAACACAATTTCTAATTCAATAATTGATGATCTCATTATTGAAAGTTGTGCATGGATGATAATTTGTGTTATAAATTGCACTTCCCAATTGAAATATTACGATTTTTTAAATCTCCACAAGAGAATTAAGATTACAATTGTGATCACATCAACCATATTTTTTCTACAACTGTAGGTAACTACAAAATTCAAAACAGTAATGAAAATTATAGGTGGATTTATTAATATGCTGGTGTGTCACTAGTAAAAGCCTAGAATTAAGCATTTGCATATGAAGGAAAATATATATTACTCCGTATACTGTAATATTGAATTTCTAAACAAGCAAAGTAGCCATGTTATAGAGGAGTACATTGCATTTCACTTTCCACCCAAGAATCAATGCATACGAAGAAAAATATTTTTTTCTTTCTAAATATAGTATTTCAACATAACAAAAATAGTAAGTTTTGCATGAAAAGTTAAATACTTAAGTTTATGAATTAAAAACTAAAAATTTTGTTTTTTTATTTTGAATTTTACCATTTTTTATCTTCAAACTACTTTTTAATAAACTACTTAATTTAGAAGTTTAACTTATTAAAGACACATGTACAAATATTTTTAAGCAAGGTTTTTTTATTCTCTAAAACAAACACAAATGTAATAATATTTGTTTTTTTTAATATTTTTTATAACGTGATATTTGAGTTTCGACTTTAAGTTAACTACCAAATCAAAAAATTAGTTAGATACATGTATGTACCGCTGTCATACAATATACACACACACACAACTTATTATGCGTGCAATTTTAACAATTGATTATCACGTTTCACATTTTTTAAATGTCACAGAAGATTAACAAATTTATTTATTTTAATTCGTATTCGTATATTGATCCTCTTGATGTTATGTATGTAGTGATTCGATAATTATGTGCCTCAGCCTCTCATCACGCGGACATTACTTGTTTTAGTGTTTAGTGGCACGTGGAATGTTTGTTAAATATAATTACTTGGTAACACAAAGGAGAACTGAAAACATATATATATATATATATATATGATGATTGTGGTTGATCAGCACCAAAGGGAATCATTGTACACGCACTGAGGTTCAGCATTTATGTGGTTTCAACTATATCGTTTTTTATTTTCCGATTTTTGTTTTTTGTTGTTGTTGATAAACTTTCAACCTTATGGTTTGGACTTTGATGTAGGACACACTTTCTGGGAGTTTAGAGAAAGAGATAGGAAGTGGGAGAGGAACACAATGAATGTTTTGATAATTAAATGATACCGAATATTTCTTCACATTCATAATATATAAATCTGTAGTGTCGTTTTCTTCACCCACCCTCTCTCCTCCTTTTTGTTATTTTAATGATTAGAATTAGAATTATTACTAATAATCAACAATTCATTATTGTCTCATAGACATGATGTTGAAGACAATGCTATTCCCGTGTTGATTTGTTCTTACCTTGTATAATTGGTTTAGACATGAAAGGGGTCTATAATATATATTCGGCTTGAATGGAGCAATATACTACCTTTCAGGTTTGTCTAAATGTTTTGAAGACAAACAATAGATTGCTTCTAGTTCTTAGAAAGTTGGTGAGGTTATAAAAACTCCAAATTGTCTTTTCACATTTTTATCAACTAATTGTATTTGTTATTATTTTCATAATTTTTATTTACTTAAGGAACGTGACATGAATAAACATTTGAGAAATATAATATCCTCACCTCTCCTAAAAATTTGACTACTTTTGTAAAGGTTAAATATTAGAGAGTATGTATATGTGATCCTTGTGGGTATACTATAATTATCACTATATATTGAGCCTGAATGGAAAGAAATCAGTTAATACTTATCTTGTTCATTTGTTTCTAACATTCAACCCGGGTTGACTTTCAGTTTCTTGTGCACATTTAGTAGTTTCTTCTGCACATAATCACATTATCATATTCAGGCGTGGTACTTTGGTTATACCTTCTTCATTTTTAGTAGTCGTTCAATCAAATCACGAGTTGCCTAGTTTTGTGATATAATGTTAAAAACATAAAGACAGTACATTCAAGTTGTTCTGCAACTTAAAAAAGACTGAGGTAACTGAAAACTTGTAGTTGTATATGTAACTTATTAAACTAGCGTTATTCGGTAAAACTAATTGAAATTAAAAAAAAAAAGACTACTAATTAGCTACAATAATTTTTTTTATTTACTAATTAAAATCATTATTAATTAGATTAATTAAATACACATATATTTAAAATAAAAAAATCAATAATTTATTTTAGTATTTTCTCTATAATTGAATAATCAATATTTTATTCATTTAAAGATAAGGAGATGACAAAAATAATAAGATTTTTAAATTGTGATAACTAATGTAGTTTTTCAAAATTTTGAAGGGTAAAATTAATAAGCAAATTATTGAGATCTATTTTCACTATAGAATGTTATTTAAATAATTTTCTAAAAAATAACTTTCAAACAATCCAAGTTTTTATTTAAAAGCTACAAGTTTTATTCAATTTGTTTACCAAATGATTCTATTAATTTATTTAAACTAAATAAAAAAAACTTTAATTGAATAGATAGAAGTTTGCATTAAGGAACAGTACCTACAAGTACAATATTTTAATTGTGTATTCATTTACTCTAAAATATATTGATCATACTATTTCTCAAACAAATTTGTATCCTTGATTTCATAACAGTGTCCCCATATATAACATTGGTTTATTGAAAATCATGTCCATTTCACACACCAAACATAATATATATTTGGGTCTCAATTTAATTGTCATTTGAAGATATTGTATATAAATTAAGACAGTCATTAAAAGTGTAGTAATTATTAACATTAAATAATGTATTTTAATGAATATGTTCCGAAAAGCTCATATACATCAATATCATATCGCATTTAATATAATACAAGTAAACAAGAAAACATGTAATTAATGCTTCACGATTTCATAACATGACAAATAATATGAAAAACTTAAAATTGTTAAATAACAATTAAAGTGAGATAAATGAAATAAACAACTCGGTAACAACAATGTCTGAAATATGTGATAAATAATTGAGTCCCCACATTTTTTGTGTGCATCCTTAAAGGCTGTATTAATGGGTAATACCATTTAAATAGTTCCTCTCTTTAAATGGATTGATCTCCATAATCTGTTCCGAACAACTTGATGATGACAATAGTATATAACAAAGACTAGTCACATATTATTCCAACCAATTCCTTTTCAGTTTTTTTTATTAAGATTTAAGACATACATGCATGGACAACAGTTTACAACAGACATAATGTGTGCAGTGTCTTCGACAAATGCTCCTGATAAAATCTACAAAGTATACATTTGATGGTACCTAACAATCATCAAATGATAAGTATTAACTGATAAAAACGAGTGAATCTCTAACAACCTCCAAAATAGAGTAGACATGCGAAGGTGACAAAAAGGATATTAATGAGATGGTTTTTATTTGAATATGTGGATGAAGTGGGGTCCTGTGACCAAAGAAAAATGCTTTGCTTGTCAAATTCATTCGGAAGAAAAGAAGAAAAAGGAAAATAAATTATCAATAGGGTTGACAAGTATGAAACGTTCAAAAGGATTCAGTGGTTGTGACTTGGCTATAAAAGTAAACACCCATCATAATCAGGGATCAATCACCAAACCCTGAGCTTTTTCAACAAGGGGATTAAGAGCTATTATAAAAAAGTTTCATCAATTTCTTAATATTGTTGTTTCGATGTAAAAATTCATCCTCTCTAAACATAAAAAAGTATTTGTAATGCAGTTTGATTGAATTTAAGTGTAAACTTCAATCTGAGATTTTATTTGCAGTTAATGTATGGTCCAATTTCTTTCATTTTATTATTATTAATGTTTCTAATTAAAATACAAAATAAAATTGTGGAATTCATGTATCAAATTATAGAAAGAAATGCAAAAATATTAATAATATATATATATATAATAAAACCACAAATTAAAGTAAAAAGGTAATTGTAATTTATAATAAAATCGAATGTTATCGGAATAAACATTTTTAGAGAAATCGTTATTGTTAGTCACAATTTTAATTTTTTAATCTTTTCAGAGAAATTATGGTTGTTACCCACAAGCTTCCTTTTTATGGGTAAATTGTACTTCACGATTTTCTATTGTTTCAATTTTTAGTGTTAGCTAGATCTATATTTTTTAATACTTAATAACATAAACACATAAGTATATAAAAATAAAATCATACGTAAGAAAATAAAATAATTATAATTTAATGCCGGGAAATATAATAATTCCCACCTAAGTGAAAGTGACTTCAAGCTTCAACTGTAAGTTTCGTATTACGGAGCCGCGAATATTTTCAAAGCCAGTATGTAAATAATAAATAACGTAGCTCGTTAAATAAACCTTATAGCAGCCTTTATAGATTAGCCTCTATCTCCAAAATGCCACCTCCATTCTTAGTCCAACTCCAAAATAAGGAAATTGTGGGGCCAACATTCTTTGTTTTATTAACTCTATTCCAGCTAGCAAGTAATTATAACAAAAAAAATTGAAAACAATATTTTATACAAAATACAATCAAAGCCATGGAAGGTTCGAGAACCAAGATTTGACACTTGAGAGCCAGGTGGATTAGATCAACATTTCAGGAAAGTTAAATTTAATGTTTTTCCAGTACAGTGGAGAAGTAACATTTTTAATAGCTTTGTTACAATCAAAAATATTTTCTCATCTTCTAGGTAAAGAATTAATTTTTTTTAATACTTTCCTTTTCAAAAAAAAAATGTACTAGCAGGAATTCCATGTTTGGATATGTGACTATGGTTTATTTTCAATAAGGAACGAGCTTAATTATGTCTTGTTTATTTAGCACTAGATAAGACTATTATTATGTTGAATGTTTCTATTTCACTATTCTCTACCATCCTACCAAACTCCTAATGAATGTGTGGAACAAGCCTCGTTTTTATAGTCCTAACCACTCTTGCTTCCTTTATTTTATATTTTTTGTTTTGTGTGGGGCTAATTGCTTTCTATCTTAGTTTAAATTAAATTAATTTAGGTGTGTGACACGTATTGAGGTTGTGTCCTATCTGACTTGAATTTAACAAATAACATATTACCAAAAAATTATTCTGCTAACTACAATATGCAAAAATATAATAGCATTTCAACCCATCTAACTCAGTCAGTGCGTGGTGTCAATTTTGGACTTCCATGTTCTTTTTCGCAAGTTTTATCCAAACGGTAAGGTAGCTCTATCTCAATATTTAAAATTGAACCTTAATTATGCACCCCAACAAACTTTATTTTCTATACAAGTATAAGATAAAATTTAACCAAATTATGAAAAAATTGAAACTAAAAATAAAGTAACCTAAAAATTTGATTGCATGATCCTATACCCTGATATATTTTCCTAGTATGTGTATATTACTATTCCTTAGATGTGTAGGTGTTTTGTGTCCTATAGACCCAGAAAGACTAAAGTTGTTTCTTGGAAGCCACTCTAGAAGGCTACTTAGATAATATTATAAAATTATATGTATAACATTTTGTACAGGGCAAGCCTCTTATATAATCTGCTTCCTATTCAAGGCACCACTTCATGTTTCCCTTACATAATAATCTTTCAATTATTTCAGCTTCTGGGTTTTTTTCTTTTGTTCTTTCTGTGAGACTTCACATACTTTCTCTGCTTACACACTCATTTACAATACAAGGAGTGCCAACTTCAAAAAACCATGGCAGGGAAGGTCAAGAACCACAACAAGGTGGGGAATGAATTGTGTTGTGGTTTCATGGGTAGAGTTCTTCAACTTAAAAGCTATAAGCTTAGAACATCATCTGTTCATTCACTACCTGTGAAGCCTAGCAACAATGCACCACAGAGAGATCATATCAAAAATGAACCTAAGATGTCTCCAAATGATGAATCTAAGGTTCTACAGATAAGCTACACTTACACTCCTGCACTCACTGAGAAACATAAACTGAGTAAAGACCAAAAACCTGCTAAAAAGGTCACCTTTATTGATCAAAATGAGAAACATTCAGATGCTGCAATAAACTTATCAACAACATCATCAACAATAAGGAACGATCACCAGAAAAAGCCACAGAAAGAGTTCAGTGAAAACTCTCTAGTACTTGCTACAATAAGCACTGGTCACCAGAGAGACTTTGGTGCCTTGAAACTCACAGGGAATTTACTTGTAAACAACACCCCAAGAAGAAAGAGTGTGGACTTCGTTCCTAAGAATAAAGAGTTAAGCTATATATCCAATTCTTACAGTAACAATGCTGGCCAAGTCATGATGGGGAATATAATCAGGGGAAACAGTGATGATCTTGCAAAGTTTAGAAGTACAAGGAACAATATAATGGACCCTGAAGTGTTGAAGTCCATTGGAAATGAAGCATACAAGCAGAGAAAATTTGAAGAGG